ACGTATAAAAAAAATTCTTTCACAATTGTGTAACCATCGGATAATCATTTCCATATTTGGGACGGTCTCACCTCGAGTAATAGACGCTTGGAAAGATCGATTTCTGGTTATCAACGCGAAGATGGTAATTCTTTTAAAGCAAACCTTTAAAGTTTTATATTCTGCAAAGATGCTGATTAAAATATCGGCCAATATAGGAAAAAGAAAAGTCCAAGTATCGATATTCATCCGAAATTCAGCAAATGATGTTTGTTTTTGGTGAAGTTCCAGAGCCTCTGACGGAAACAATTCAACTTGTGGAAGACATTGTTAGATCACAAGTGATTGAAATTGTAAGTGTATTAGTCCATTTTCACTGATATATTTAATGCACGTTTTTTGACAGGAAATTTTTTATACAGATTATTCAAGCAGCTGCACAAGCAGCCAAGCGTGGTTCACGGTATATGAGTTCAGAAGACCTCATATTCTTAATTCGACATGATCGAGCAAAAGTAAATCGTTTGCGAACATATTTGAGTTGGAAAGATGTGCGTAAAAATGTAAAAGATACGGGAAATGATGCCGTTGAAGAAACTATTGAGGAACCAAGCGCAGGTATTTTAAGATTTGTTTTATTATTGCAAACAGAAAATTACTAAATGCGTGAAATAAATTAGATAAATTAGCAAAAGCCCGCAAAATGAAGGTTAAGTTGTCATGGGAACTAGTCAATTCTTTTTCAGAATTTTTGAACGCAGACAGTGAAGAAGAAGATGAAGAAGAGCTTGAAGCTTATAATGATTCAATACAAAGATTAAAAGTACGTTTATTATATTTTTCTAATGTTAGATCACCTTATTAAAATTTAAAAATTCTATAGGATGCAGATGAAATTACTAGAGCTATGACAAGAGAAGAATATGTGCATTATTCAGAATGCCGACAGGCATCTTTTACTTATAGAAAGGCGAAGCGTTTTCGTGAATGGGCAAACATGTCAGCGTACATTGATATGAAACCTAACGATGATATTATAGACATTCTAGGATTTTTGACATTCGAGATGGTTAGCACTCTAACAGAGACAGCGCTTCGCGTTAAACGAGATTTAGACAGAGATCAAAAAATGCATAATAAAGGGCTTAAAAGACCACGCGAAAATTATGACACAGGTGGGAATGTATTTCTGTTTTCCTTACCCCCCCCTGAGCAGACAGCATTGCAACCTTCGCATATACATGAAGCTTTCAGAAGATTGCAAATGGTGCCAAAGCCAATCAAGAATTTTCGTGGTGGATTGGCTAGAACAAAGGTTTCATTAATATAATAACAACTGGAGAGTAGGGTTAATATACAGTACTCATTTAAATAATAATTTATTTTTTGGTTTTTGGTTTTGCCAAAGTCAAGATATTAGTGCTTGCAAATAATATAATAATAATTTTATTTTTGAGTTAACTTCTAAATTAATTATATCAAATTTTATTATATTATACTTGACTTCCATATTAATTATATAATAAAATCAATCATACAGTTTTTAATTTCATATTTTCAATTACATTATAATTATCTGAATAATTAATAGATGATGTATGTATTTATGAAATTATATCTTTAAATATGAATCTAATTCAACTTTAATAAGTATTCAGAGTTTTTTTCTAATTTTCCTATCTTTTTAATTAAGCTCTTCAATTATTATTCTTTATACAATATATTTCAACCCAATTTTCATCCAAAGACCAATTTTCACTATAACACAGTTTCATGTATAGCATACTAATACTTATATACAAAACTAGTAATTAATTTATAGAATACAGTAATTATTCAATGACTATTTTGATATAAAAAAAGTTCACAAATAATACTAATAAAATTTAATAAATTTGATATTTAACATAGTGAATTTATTAAATTTTATTAATATAAGTAAAAAAATTATTTTCTTATTTTTTTTATATTATAGCATTAATTAAAAATTCACAATTTTAATTGACTAATTTATGCCCAGTATAAATACACTCTGAAATATATCTAAAATTAGTAACAAATCAAATTTAGGTTGTTTGGATTATACAATCTTCAATTACTATTTATTCAAAAAAAAATTTATTATTATAAGATTATTTTCAAAACAAAAATCTATATGAAAATTGCAACCTCAATTATTTGTATAACTAGCAAATATTTTTTCACAAATACATTCTTCAAGTTCTAAAGTGTTGTATAAAACTTTGGGATCTCTTTGAATCAAATAAAAAAAGGTAGTTTACTTATATATAAAAATAAACTAAAATATGAATTTTTTACTAATTATTTTAGTTAATTTAAACTAAATCTTACAGCCTAATATAAAAATTTTTTTTACTAGCATATTATTTATACTTTAAGATATTTATTTAGAATATAGTCTCAAAACTAAGAGACTTTATCTAAAAAACAAACATACTGTCATCTATTGGACTATACAAAGTTATTATTATTAGAATATATTTTGTTTAAGATATTGATTTAAATAAAATTTTATTATTAATTATTTAGTTTGAATAAATACAGATCTTTTATTAGCAAGAGATTTAGGTTTAATATTTAGATTTGTTGGTCTTTATAGAGTATTAGTTGATTAATTGTAAATTTAAAATTTTGATATATATTGCTATATTGTATAAATTTTTAATAATTTTGAATTTATTTTTTTTCTTTTATTAACAGCCTTGCTGATATTTTTATTAGATCAAAGCATATATATACATATATTTAACTATTTAAATTTTAGATCTGACATTCTTTGGCTATCTTTAGAGATACAATATTTAAGAATAGTTTGTTATATTAGTTAAAGCTTTTGTCTATATCAAAGAGCTGCATCAAGCTAGCTATTAAAGCTATACCAAAATAACTTTATTTAGATATTCTATAGAATAGGTAGGCAATATAAAAAATAAGCTTTGCTAATAATTAGTAATCATTAATTTTTTAATTGCAGAGTTGTAAAGTTTGCAGAGTTTGTCTACCTATTCTATAGAACATTACTTTATTCTATTTAAATTAAATTTTTATATATAATGACAAACCAAGTATTTACTTTTCCATCTACAACCTTTTCTTTATTAATCTTATCTTCTTTTTTTGACTTTTTTCTTGGTTTGATCTTAGCTTTAACTACTTTTTCTAATGTTCAAATCTGTCTCTTTTATACTGATAACTGTTTTTTCATTCTTGTTTTTTTTCTTTTCTACTTATTCTGTTTTTTTTTCTATTCATTGATAAGTACATATCACTGTTTTCAAATATTCTTGTAAAAATAATTTTATATTATTTAACTGCTATATCAAGCTAATTTCTTACTTTTTTTAACGTTTTTACTACTTTGATAATTTTTCTTGCAATTTTATCTTTAATTAGTTTTTTGAGTATATCAACTTTTGTTTTTTTTTCATTAAACCTTATAAAGTGATTGTCTAAAGCTATATCTATTATATGACCTAAAGCCAATAGAATTATTTATTTTGATCGACACAGATCAGCTTGAAAAGACAAAAAACAGCAAAAAAAGTAAAAATCACAAAAAATACAAGAAACAATAGTCTAAACCCATCTTGATGCATTAATAAAAAATGTCAAGAAGACAATTTTACTATAAAATATGCCCTAATCCTAATTCCAAACTAACTACCCTAACTTTAATTAAAAACAAAAAACACGTGACTGAACATGGCTTTAGACGTCCTTCTTATAAAGTGTTTTTAAGTTAAGCTTTGTTTAAATAATTGTGGTTTCTTCTGAAAGGGCTGTTTAATATTAACTGCACTGCTTCTTTTTACTTTGTTTTATACTTCTCACAACTAATTAGATATTTTTGATTTTTTTTTTACTTCTTATCTATATTATATATATTAGATTGTTATATAAGTCCAACCTTCTAATTATTAAAGTTTTTTAAACTAAAAGCTTTTTATATAGACATTTAATTAATACTTCTAAACAATTTTTTTTTTAAGCTTGTATATCTAATTTTATTTTAGTTTTTAATTTTTTTCTATAGAATAGACCAGTATTAGGTTTGTTTGTCATTATCAGGTTTTATTTTCTTTATCAATATTGTAGATTTTCAATTTATTTTTAGTTTAAGTTTGAGCATCATTTATAAAAATTCTCTTATAAAAGCTTTTACTATTATTCTATCCCAACATAAAAAGATGCTTAATTCTTAGGAAGATTTTTCTATAATTCTCTCTTTATCTACTATTTTAGATCTTATTTTTGCTAATTTATTTGCCCTATCATTTTATCTATTTTTACTATAATCCTTCATCTTTTTACTTTACTATATCTATAATACATTTTACTAAATCATAATTTCCTTCTCTTAACCTTTACTTTGCCAGTTTATACTTTCTAATCTAGCTATTGTCACTGTACTATCTATATAAATTTTAGTTTTTTTTTCTTAAGCATAATTAAAAATATATACCAGATTTCTAGTAGTTTTGTTTTTGTCAAAGATAGCCAGTTTCTTACTTTAAAATAACCTTCATTGACAATTTTTTTCTCTTTTTCATTTACTAAAACCTAACTTGCTTCTATTTTATTTGACTCTGCTTAGATTAATTTTTTGCTTCTCCTTAAAGAACCATCAGTATAGAATATAAAATGAGTCAAGAAGCTGTCTTGTAGCTTTTGGTTCTTTTTTATTAAATAGTTCTGTATAGCTAAGCTGATTCACTGATTTTTAATAATTTTTGTATTCAAATATTTTTTTTTTCCTTCAGCAATCCTGTTTACTTTATTATGGAAACAGATTTTCATTCCTACATCGGCATATGAAGAAATCTAAAATCTATAAGTGTTCCAACCAAAGAATAAACTCACCCCCGACGTACCTCGCAGATGCTGAAACATCCACTTGCGGTTAGGGCGAACCATTAAACCGCTGTGTCTTGCCCAGATGCGACCTGCCTAGCAACAATTGGCCTCCTCCAGAGATCCGGATCTCATTTCGGACTTATTTCCTCCAGATTCACCAGCTGGCTGTTGCTCGCCCCGTCAAGATTCCTGCTATACAATAGAATGCTGCCAAACTGATGATACTTTCTTGTAGAGAAGGAAAAAAGAAAAAAAAAAGGGAATAATAGGGAACGAAAAAAAGGTAAATAATAAAAACAAATACATCAAAGAAAACGAATACTAATACTAAGGAATATAAAAAACTA